CTGTCTCTTATACACACCATAAAATATTGCATGACCCTGTTGTATGCCAAACGTTCCGTATCTGTTGAGGCCTTACCTTGTTGACTTGGCCTACTACTAGTACTAATCCTAGGAGGAGTAGGAGTAGGCCTTTGCCTTGTTGAAGTATTAGGCCTACCTAGCCCCTGGCTTTGTCCACTTACTTGGCTTGAACTCCTAGTAGTTACAGTATCTATACTAATACTAATCCTAGTTGTGGTATAGGCCTAGTAATCTGCTTTGTTGGGGAAGTGCTGATCTAGCAACGTGGGTTGGCTTGCTTGCTGGCCGATCACCGAAAATAACATCCGTGTCATCAAAATATGGCCATTCTGTTGGGCCATGGCGTGACCAGTCCAGGTCATCTTTGGCCACCATACATTAGTTTTTCAAGTTTTTACATTTATTAATGATTTGACAAAGTTCAAAATCTGAAATCGGGTTCCTCGAGCTTAGTCTTAATTTTGTTGTATATTGCTCTATATTGGTCCCGTCAAAGCTATCCTGAATTTTCAAATTCCCCAAACACTGATTAAAGACTCGGGTGCAGCCTTGGTCCAGCTCATGTTGACCATTCTGTTTAAGCATTCAAGAAAGAAGAGGCAATTTATGAATTATATTATATTTCATATCTACCAATGCAACAATCTCAATGGCGTTGGAATTTAAAAGAGTGCCAAAAAAGCCTGCAATCGCGGATCGCACAAAAAGTTTCTCCTTAGTAATTTATTCCTTACTCTTGAGTTTCTTAGGAGATTGCAGCTGACTTTCTGGTTCAATAATTATGCTGAATTCCAGCTTGTCATCTGACTCTTCCATAAATACTTTTTCAATGTCATCTGTAGTTTGTGTGGTTGGAGGTGTTTTAGTTGGCGTAGATGTAAGCAGTGGTGTAGAAGGGGGAGTAGATTGTGTTACGCCTTGAAGTTGAAAGTTGTGCTTTTTGATCTTGGCTAGAACTGTTGCAGCTTCGTTAATTGGGATTTTTGGTTTTCTAGAAGTTGATATTTTTGGTCTAATCTCTTTGCATATTTCTTTAAGGTTTGTCGATCGACATTGATAAGCCACATCTTTCAAGTACTGTTTCCATTGTTCTGTGAAATAGTAACGTGCAGAGAGTGTGATGTTCTTCATTATAGGTACGCTGTCGCTGGACAATTAAATTGCAGCGTTTTTGGTTGTATCGAGCCTGTTTTTCAGCAGTCTTCGAAATGAACTCTTCCTCCAAGTAAAGACAGTTTAGGCCTTGAAGGTGAAAGTTGTGCTTTTTGATCTTGGCTAGTTCTTGTCCCAGCTTCGTTAATTAGGATTTTTGGTTTTCTAGAAGTTGATCTTGTTGGTCTAATCTTTTTGTACATTTCTTTAAGGTTTCATCGATCGACGTTGATAATTCAGCCACATCTTTCGAGTACTGTTTCCGCTGTTGTTCTGTGAAGTAGGAATGTGTAGAGAGTGTGATGTTCTTCATGATATATACGCTTTCACTGGATAATTAGATGGTGGTGTTTTTTGTTGAATTGAGCCTGTTTTTCAGCGGCCTTTGAAATGAACTCTTCCTAATAAATTATCAACTGAGTATACATACCAGTGAAATTTTGTTTCCTGAATGAGTTCTTTGATGCATTACTATTATCGATCTTGAGCATTGAACTAGTAGCTACGACTTCCATCTGTATGGCTCATCTTCGTTGCTCTGGTCCAGGGAGTCAGAGAATGGTTTTTGTGACAACTAGCAGGGGCGGATTTAGTGGGGGCTAGCCCGGCCCCCCCCCCCTTTTGGGAGGTAAAAAAAGAAAAAAGAAAGAAAAAAAAAAGAAAGAAAAAGAAAAAATGATAGCCCAGAACGCCTCAAATGTTATTTTCGGGCGTCTAGAACACAAAAATTTCGCGGGGCATACCCCCGGACCCCCTAGGACATTGTTGTCTGGATCGGCCCAAATTTCGGCCCCCCTTTCGGCCCCCCCTTTTGGACATCTCTGGATCCGCCCCTGACTAGCTTCCACAAACAAACTCAAGAGACCAATACAGTAGTGGAGTGTCAAATGTCATTTTATTGATAATGATGCAAAAAGTGGGTAGCACTCCTTCTAATTAGAATTAAAAACTATGAGGGATAGTGCTGCCCTAAAACCAAATGAGTTGAATACTCTGTCTTACACTATTCTAAATATTCACCACCTTAAAATACATGATTCAAATAAAAGTATTGAGATCAAAAATGATACTTTGAGTTGGTAAAAAGGTCGGCTTGGGTTCTCCATACATGATATGGGTCTTCATCTTTGCCTTTATCTGTTCTGCCGGAGAATTGATAGTCTAGCTACATTGAGTAATTCGTTATGCGTTGAAGGACTTGATTGGTTTGGCGAAGAAACAGATGTGGATAAAAGTTGTTCCACATGCTTGACTATGATTGTGGTGAAACCTATTATATCATCTCCTTCTGAAACTTCAAAATTTTCTGGAATTGTTAAATCAGCTGTCTTCACTGATAACCTAGCCAAAATGAAGGTTTTCTTGAAATCATGTTTATCGATTTCATCTCTACGTTTGATGTCTGTAAATACAAGTGTCATCATATATATGGCCTTACAATCTTTCTTGTATCCCATATTTGATTATAAACTCTTCCATAAAGTTTGTGCGACAGTGCATGCAGTTTGGTCAGAGTGGGATATGCCTGTAATTCTGTTGTGGATGTTGTCCTTCTCTTCCAGTGATTAGTCAAGAATGAACTCAATCTCACTTTAGGAATTCTGGACAGAGCATCGGTGTTGTCATTAGACGGTAAGTAATCTCAAGTTGACAATGAGAGAGATCGTTCACAAATCGCTTGCCATGGGCGTTCAACTTTGCCTTACCTAGTACATACTGTAGTTTAATAGTTGTTGTCGGTAACTGCGGTTACATCATGATCATATACATAGACTCTAAATTTGTCAGTCGCTGTCCAGTGCTGAGCTTTGAACTCAAGCTTAGGCCAAAAAAAAAAAAAATTTGTGTTGGCCCTGTTTTGGGAAAATAAAATAAATGGGTCGGTAGGTAGGGAAAGTTTTTTTTTTTTTGGGCTTATGCCTAAAAAGTAGAAAATACACACAAAAATACAACAAAGACCACTTTTGAAATGATTTCAGGTGTATTTTTATTTTGCAAAATAAATTATCTTTTTAACTTTAAAATGGCTCTAGGCCTGTTGTTAATCTTATCTCTAGGCCTGTTGTTAATCTTGTCTCGCTTGTAAAACGGCTCTTTGGCCTGTTGTGAATTACCTTTTTTCCTGCCTCTTCACATTCCTTAAAAATTGGCAACACAGCTTTTAAACGCTGGGTGAACTTCCACTTGATAGGCCTACTTGCAAATCGTCGGCAGGTGGGGGTCCTTGGGCCACCTTAAACTTTAAAAAAATTATATTGAAATGCTTCCAACATTTCCAGGGACTCATCCATATCGGCCTCTTGCCAGGGACCGTTCAACGACAGTCCGTTGTGTATAGTTTCTGGCTTTAGATGTTGGACCTTTTTATGATACAGATATTTAAATGTGAAGTTTAAACTCGTGGACGTAGTGAAAGATTTTATAACTTCACAGTCTCGGCAGACCAAGATAAGTACATAGTACGCCATGATTCGTTTCACTTCCAACGTGCTCCTTCGAACAAATCCAGTCTACTTCAAGCTTTTCTTAAAACCGCGACAGCGAGACAACGCATGCGCAAAAGCGATCTGCAGCAAAATTTGCAAACCTGTTACATTTACCGTACA